GGCCAAAGTTTCGCCCCCTATAGTCAGCGATGGAACCAGCTGACTATGCCGAGGCGCCGGTAGCCACAGCCACTCGGTCTTGGAAGGGTTGAGCCTGAGTCTGTTCCTCCCCATCCAGACCCTCACGGCCTCCAGACACCGGGTCATCACGTCAAGGGCATCGTTGGGGTGGCCCGGGGTGGATATGTACAGCTGAGTACCTGATGTTCAATGCTTCAGAGTAAAGTATTTCTATGTGGTCTTTAACAATGTAGTGTTGGTTCAATTTAATATAATTTGGAATTGAAAAGAAATGGCACTAAAATCAGCTGTAATACGGCTTTTCCCCATTTCCAAGTATATTTCTAACTTAATTTGTTAACTATTTTAAAGGAACTGTGGCAGCTACTGCTGGGCTTCATCCTGGACAGTGCATAATCAAAGTGAATGGAATTAATGTCAGCAAAGAAACACATGCAAGTGTTATTGCCCATGTAACAGCCTGCAGGAAATACAGACGTCCAATGCATGTAATGCTAAATATTTTGTTCATTATATAATTATATAATCCTTGTTTTTATTTCAGTGGCCCATAACTATTATTTATTATCTATCTTGGAAAAATGTAATCAATATAACACTTCACCATGAATGGATGGAATAGTTTTTTTTTTTTTTTACTTTCACATGGTTCATATTGAAAAGGTATGGGGCTTCATTCACAATTAAATGTAGGGATACCATCCTTGAACATTTTGCTCTTTTCCATTACTCAGGTACAATCTGCAAGTGAAAATAATGGAGATCCTGTTACTATATGTGCAGGGTGGAAATAAAAAGAAAAACAAAACATACAAGGCATTTTACCTAGCATTAAGTTTGTTTGACAGCTGCTCAGAATCACATAATAGGGCAGGATATAAATTTAATAAACAAACCTTTCCTGAGAATATCAAAGACAAAACTAAGACGAAAAACTTCCAGTGAAGGATTTGAATATCCATCTTAAACAAAACCTTTTATGCTCTGAATAACTAATATTATTGAGAATGACTCTAAGGTCTTCCTGATTAACGATGGACTTCTGAATGGACCACCATGTTTATTCTTATTTATTTGATTTTGATCCCATTTTATTACTTTTTAAGTAACTTAAGTTCCTCCTATTTTCCCTGTGAAGTGGGTTGGACTGAGAGTGAGTGACTGGTCCAAAGTTACTCAGCTGGTTTTTCATGCCTAAGACAAGACCAGAACTCAGTCTCTTGGTTTCTAGGTAAGCACCTTAAAACCTACACCAAAATGACTTTCTTTTACAAGCAGAGAAGCGGATAAAGAGTTAGGGGACCAGTCATAGCTTCCACTGATGCATAAATCCTGCTGTTTAGTTCTTACTATTAAACAAATGGGCAACACTAAGATTAAAATACAGTCCTATATCACACTATTTGATTAGCCCCTTTTAATTACTATCAAACAATTTCTGTTGATATGTTTCATAACAAATTGTTGTGAGATAAAAGCTAAACCCAAGAGAAAATACAACGATCCTTCATTGTATGTGGCTGTATTAGGTTCTGTAAGTCTTTTCTATATTAATCTGTTGAATAAAAATTATTTGGAACTATTCATAAATATAATTTCAATTATATTGAGAGGGAATATATTTCAATGATGCAGTTATGAAAAAACAGTAATACTTGACATCGGTGCTTGAGCCTCATTTTATCCACATTTCTCTTTAGATTATATATTTTAAAATCTGTCAAAATACAATTGTGTGGGTGGGGAAAAGAATAATTTTGTAAATCAGTAACTTTTTTAACTTTAACTTTTTTAACTTTAACTTTAACTTTTTTAAACTATCCTCTAAGATACAGCTTCATATGATCAATAAAAAAATGAACCATGGACTTCAGCAACAAACAAATAAAACGTTCTGTTTCTAGCAGCAGTTCTTTCTTCCCTCATGGAAATAAACTGCAAATTAAATCTAAACTTTTTTTATTTTCCAAAACCTATATGTATTAAAGTGTTAATGAGGCTTATAAATTATTTGTTATTCTACAGCAAGATTCTATTCAATGGATATATAACAACATTGACAGTGTTCAGGAGGATTTTCAGAAAACAAATGCTAAACCATTGGGTGAGGATGGAGGAGATACATTTAATTACAAAGTTGAAGGTGGGATTATTTCTCTCTTATTATTAATCACAATAAAAGTTTGACCATTTCTTAAAGTATTAAAAGCAAGTATAGCATTCCAGAGCAAAACAAGGAGATTACACATCTCTCTTGAAGTGAGCAAACATGCCAGCAAAGTTGGGATGCAAACCGTATAGAAATGCATGAGTTCTTCAGATATTACTTTTGTCAATTAATGAAGAAATACAGTCATACCTTAGATCAGTGGTTCTCAACCTGTGGGTCGGGACCCCATTTGGGGTCGATCGACCATTTCATGGGGGTCGCCAAGCAAGGCTGTCCACCATTTTTTTTGTCCGCCATTTTTTTGTCTGCCATTTTTTTCCCCTTTTCCGGCAGGTGCCTTACCTCCCTTGGGCTGGGCCAGCTGGTGGTCGGCCTGCTCCGTCTCTGCCGCTTGCCAGCTACGCCTTGGCCGGCGCAGGGGGCGGAACCACGCATGCGTGGCGCTCCCGGGCAGGGAAAGTCCTCAACTTATGACCGGTTGGGTAGTCCTCGACTTACGACCGGTTTAGTCCTCGACTTACGACCGGTTTAGTCCTCGACTTACGACCGGTTGGGGTCGCAGCATTAAAAAGGTTGAGAACCACTGCCTTAGATATATATGACTTTGTTTTTGAATTCATTGGGAATCTTAGAAATTATGTTGCACTAGTTAGCCAGTAGACAATCACAAGGAGGGTCTAAATTTTTGATCATAATAATTTCTTAAATGACTCTGCAATAAATAATATGTGTTTCAGAGGTAGTCTATAGTAATTAGTCTATATAATAGATTGATTTTTTGTTTGTCTTTAGAAGCAATTGATAAATTTAATACTATGGCAATAATTGATGGAAGAAAGGATCATGTCTGCCTGACTGTTGATAATGTTCATCTGGAATATGGTGTTGTTTACGAGTATGATAGCACTGCTGGAATAAAATGCCATGTTTTAGAGAAAATGATTGAACCAAAAGGCTTTTTCAGTCTGACTGCAAAGGTATGATGCATAAAACATGTATGTTTGTATGTACTTTATATGTTCTTATTGAAGAAAATTGAAAATTATAATAATTTTATTTCAAATCAGTGATTTGTGCACTTTTGATGTTTATTTAAGATTATGATTAATCGTTATCTACTAAATTCAAACCATGATAAATGATAAATGCAAAAGAGGCTAAGCATCAAACTAGTCCTGAAACTTTTCTTTTATTTCCCAAAATTATGAGCTACAATATTTCATCTCCCTATTGTATTTTAATAGTAGTTTTAAGAATTATTATTAAGAATTATTTTAATAGTAAGATTTAAGAATTATATCATTTTGCAAAACAAAGGTGGAAGAACATGGTTGGTTACAAAAAAGATTTGCAGTTCTTCTATATATTAAGAATTCATAATCTGATGTTTACTAATTGTTCAGAACAACACAACTATAAATAATTTATCTAATAAACAAGGAGGATGAGATTGGTAGTAGAAGGAAAAAGATACATTTAATTATTTCAAAGGTGTTATTATGATCAAATAATAATGCTCTAAATATAGATCAGGTCAAGGAAATTAAGATGCTAAACAAAACAAAATACCTCTTCCCCCCTCCCCTTTGTCTCCATGTTATCAAAATCATCACAGAAAGACTATATTATTATATTATTGTATGCAGATAATATTCCTCCCTAATTGGTACAGGATTTCATTTCACACAAAGGAAAAGTCTTGCCTCTTTTTCTTTCTCTCAATATTAAGTCCATTATTTGATTAGCTTGCTGGCAGTAATAGTGATGTATCTATAGTACGTGTCATCAGTGGAGGTTGTCAGTTCTTCAGTTATTTCAGTCTCTATATGGCATTGTAAGAGGATCTCTTTACATTTGATATTTGATTAGAATTCAATAAATAATTGGCTCGTCAATGCAATTTGCAGACTTTCTGGAATTTTTTTTTCTAATAATTTGAAAACCATGAAATATTATCACTTCAGAACAGACTTAACAAATTTGTCCTTACTCCAAAATGTTATTCTACTGCTAGACTGTAACAATATATACAACTGCTGCTCCTTCTTCCCTCCATCCTCAGTGCACTGTAATGTTGCCTCTATCTTCTTGCCATTGTTGTTACTGTGCACCTTTCATTTCTTTATTTCATTTCTTTATTAAATTTATATGCTACCCATCTCACTCTCCAAAGTGACGCTAGGCCAGTGGTTCTCAACCTTTTTAATGCCGCGACCCCCAACCGGTCGTACATCGAGGACTAAACCGGTCTTAAGTCGAGGACTAAACCGGTCGTAAGTCGAGGACTACCCAACTGGTCGTAAGTTGAGGACTTTCCCTGCCCGGGAGTGCCGCGCATGCATGGTTCCGCCCCCTGCGCCGGCCAAGGCGTAGCTGGCAAGCGGCAGAGACGGAGCAGGCCGACCACCAGCTGGCTCATCCCAAGGGAGATAAGGCACCCGCCGGAAAAGGGGAAAAAATGGCAGACAAAAAAAATGCTGGACAGCCTTGCTTGGCGACCCCCGTGAAATGGTCTATCGACCCCAAATGGGGTCGCGACCCATAGGTTGAGAACCGCTGCGCTAGGCTGTTGCTGCAGCTGCCATCTCCTTGCTCCCTAACTTTGGAAAGTGCTACACTGGCTTGTCTCCTATGTAGACCTTTGGATGATGCTGAGGAAAGGGGGAGATGGGAAAATCTACTTTTCTAAACTCTTTCCTGCAAGTATGATATTGGATGAAATTTTACTTGTTTTTAAAGAGATTCCTTGTGGAATGTATCTAAGGGTGGAATATGGACAGGACTAATTGGACATGCATACAGTGCTTGGCCAGCTGAATTGATTTATATTGTTAGAGTTGAAGTATTTGCTATTTGCTTATATTTCTAATATAAATGGTCTTAGCTTAAGAATCAAATGTTTGTATAATATATCATACATCATAGTATATACAGAGCTTTTTGCAACTCTGTTTCAGTTGCTCCACCTGTTATCTGCCTATTTCCTATACATAATAATTGCTTGTTCTGTTAACTCCTTCTATAGACAGTTTTTTGCTGAATTAGAGAGGAGGATGGAAAGAAGGACAAATCATTTTCTTGGAAATGCCTAGATATCCAGCACCTTGGTCATGTTTCTACAAGCTGTCATTCTAAGACTGTCTTTTCTAATAAAGCTCAATTACTTCCACTATCCAATATATTGTGCAGATCTTCCTCCCTGATTCTACTTGTACTTGCTATATCCTTAGATGTTCCTCCCTCCTTCTATGGGTATTCTCTCCAGTTCTATTGCCTGTTTCTCTTCAGTGGGTTCAATGCCTTGCCCCTTGTGCACCTTGAGTTCACAATGCACAGACATTTTACTGCTTACAAATCATGTCCTAGAAGACAGAATGATTCTGCCGTTGCTCACAGGAGTCTTAATTAATCCAAGAATTTCACTTCCTCTCAAAGTCCAAATCTGAAAACTGCTTGATAAATGAGTTGTCTGGGTTTTTTATTTAAGCCATAATAATTGGACCAGTTAGTTTCACAAATATTAGTATTGTGAAATATCAATACGAACCTAATGAAGAAAAAATTAAATACTAAATACATAACAAATACATAAGGATAGATACATATATTAGGGCTGTGCTATGAGAATTAATAACCTTTAAATAATTACTTTTGTCCTACTTATAGATCCTTGAAGCTCTAGCAAAAAGTGACGAGCAATTTGTGCAAAACTGTAGCAGCTTAAATAGTATACATGAAGTAATTCCTACCAATCTTCAGAGCAAATTCAGTGCCATTTGCAGTGAAAAAATAGAGCACATTTGCAGAAGGATTACAAGTTATAAAAAGGTAAAGGTTGTAAATTTGCTTAGAAGAAATGGTGAAAATATTCAACTAGAACTTAGTATGGGTAAACAATTACATATACTGTAAATATGTAGAATCAAAGTAAATACACAGGTGGTATATAGATAATATTTTCATGATAAGGTATACTTCAAAATTGCTTGGGATCTGCAAATCTGCAAAGTAGATTCTGAGAGAGTACATGTTAAATGGAACAAGATGACATGAGAAGAAAAAAAATTAGCAGGAAACTGGCCTTATGTTTTTGTGATTCCTGTGCAATTAAAATTTCTATGATAGACAAAGTACTTTTCATTTATTGCTGGTGTATTGTAGAAAAAAATTAATAATATATGCAATGTCCAGGACAAGAATAGCAAGAGCATATTGGACCAGGAACAAGTACACTGGTACAACCATGTGGGGGAGGTAGACATATTTACCAAACCTAAAGTTATAAACCCACATATTCCCCATCTGCTTGGATAAGATCTTTGAGAATCTATGAACATGATGCACAATTATTATTTTCAGAACATTTTCTATTTGAGTGACTGTTGGAATATGTTTTATTCTAAGGATAGTTTTGTCTTTATCTTTCAGGTGGAAACAGATTGTCGAGAATGCTTTAACTGAGCTGTTAGTTTCAGTGTAAAAGTTTGAAATTTATAAAGAATTATGCAATGGCTTTTTATTATTACCTTATTACTACAGCATCAATTTAATTATCTTTACAATTCCATGGGCTATAGAATATTCAGATTAAAACAGATCAGATTTTTATATCAAATGAGAATAGAAATAACAGATCAATGATTGGTTATTTTTCTCCCTTTTGGAAATGAAATGTGTAACTCACTCTTACAATTATATGATCTAGAAAGTGGGTATAATTTGTGTTTATCAAAACATAGGATACGTTCAAAGTCCTTTTGTGGATGCTGCTTTTGATTCTTTGTAACTGACATTATCTTTAACTCGACAGGTGTGCCATTCTCAGTTATTTTGATGCAGAAATACAATTTTGTGTGCAGCGTTATATGTTGTGGAAACAGAAACTCTGTGTGCAAAAATAAGAGTCTGAAACAATACATTTTCTCACATCTAAAAACTGAATTGTTAAAGTTATTATGTAATTCAAACTGGAATCTTTGGATTTATATAACATTTCCCTTTTGGATTTACCTGTAGTTTTCACGAGTCCTAAAAAATCGAGCTTGGCCTACCTTCAAGCAAGCTAAGTCAAAAATCTCACCACTGCACAGCAGTGATTTCTGTCCGACTAATTGCCATATCAATGTTATGGAAGTCTCATATCCTAAAACGTCAACCTCACTTGGCAGTGCCTTTGGTGTTCAACTAGATAGCAGGAAACATTTTTCACATGAAAAAGAAAACAGACATACGGAGCAAGGTAAACCGCAATGTCTATCTTTGAAAATTTGTTTCTTTCCTAGCATGACAAGAAATGAAGAGATTGGGTTAATTTGGAGGTATAGAATGTCTTAAATGATGCCATTATTAAGGGTAAAGAAGAAATTTTGGTTCTACTCAAGGAAAAATGATTTTGGACTGTTTTTGCTTTATAAACCAAATACTATCACTGCCCCCCTTTCACTTACCTTTTCTATTTTTCATTCATGCTTGTTTTTCTCAGAGAAAATGATGAAGAGGGGAATCTGTTCAGCAGGGTATTTCTCCTTGAGAGTGCCTTGTTTTTCTCCATGCAAGGATGTCTGGTGCTCCCTCTTAAAGCGCAAATGGCAGAGAGTGACTGCAATGGCTACGGTTCTTTGGAGGAATTCCAAAACTTTCTAGCTCGTTAGCGTTTTCTTCTTTGGGAAAGAGAAAAAATATAATATGGGAAATTGCCACTTTGGCACTGCATAATGCCTAGTTTGGTGTATTGGTAATTGCAGACTTATACACAGAGCCAAGCCACATCCATATATATGATTTTCCATTTTAATTTTATTTATTTATTGGAACCAAATTTACTCTATAAGCACTATTAATTGAAGGATTTTTATTTTGTGATTCATCTGAATTACTGCTTATTTCTTCTTCCTCAAATAATTAAATGGTCACACGATGATTGTAATAACAGGAAGCTGAAAATGTTTATCTGATTCAGCTATTTTTTTCATCAGAGAAAGTGTCCTATTTAAACTGAGTGCCATCTTTGCTAAATAAGTGGCACATTTTTTTTGAAGTAGTCATTGAAAATCACGAAAAGAGGAGTATTGACGGCATTGTTTGTTTGCTTAATTTTACTCTCCTGTCAGCTGAGAAATAATCATAATTTGCATGTCTATGTCAGCCTGTCTATTTCTGTCTCTAGTTTTTGCTAAATTATGGAGAAAAAAGATTTTTTCAAGAATTCATGTTTTTTTCAGTATTTATATTGTTCAATTATTTCTATTTTAATCAGATTATCTTGTTTCATTATCTTATGGGATAATGTTAATAAATGAATTATGCTTGTAGAAGTGAATTAATTAATTTCAACACAAGCGTGGATTTTCAGCATCATGTTTTGCTTGTATTCTGAATGTGTACAAACTAATTATTAATTGGATTTATGAAAGTGAGCTGGATTTTTTTTTTGCACTTAAATTGAGTTATAGTGAATCTAAATACAGCATTTTATGCAATATATTTCCTCTAGGTAAACTGAATCCCATGGTTTATGTACAACATACTATAACAACCATGGCCGCTCCATCAGGTCACTCATTAGGTCAACAGGATGGCCATGGTTTAAGGTACCTGTTAAAAGAAGAAGATTTAGAAACACAAGACATCTATGAGAAACTATTATGCAAATTACAAAGTACATTAAAGGAGGTGGAAAACTGTGTATTTCAAATAGATGAGTAAGTAATCCTAAGGTTTATATCTTTATGGACTGGGATATTAATACACATATTAGTTTTCTAGAATTATAGTTTTAGATTACATTTGGATTTTTCTTGGAGAACCATAAGTCAGTGATAACACATTTTCCATGCTGCCTTTTCATATTCAGTACTTGACATTTGTGGGTGGGACAAATACTTTTCAAACAAATCAAGCCAATAACTCCATTGATTTCATTAAGACAACTCTAATAAGAAATAGAAGTACCTCTGGTCTTTTGAATTTCTTCCAGTTGTAACAGACTCTGGTTTTAGTTTAAAACTTTAAACTTTATTTTCAGTAAAGCTATATGTGTATGGAATAAGTGAACAATATTTAGATAGAGTAATTCATGATTGGCTGTTGTATGAGATTAGCCATGTTAAATTCCTGCTTCCATTTTAAGAGTATGCAATGTCTGCATTTACAAATTTTCATACAAATTAGTGGTATGCACTATTTTTAATTACCTCTATTAAATTTATAAATTTCAGCCTTCTCTCTTCAATAACATATTCTCCAAGTTCACAAAATAAAAACCATGAATTGTTAATGTCAACAGACAGTGATAACGAAAAAGGAGAACGCAATGGAAAAAAAGTATGCTTCAATGTAGTAAATGATGATCAGGAAGATTCTGGTCATGACACTATAAGCAACAGGGATTCATATAGGTAATGTATCAGTTAATATAATAATAAACACCAAATTTATAATTTTACTGTGTATAATGATACAATGTTAACAATTTTTAAAAATCTGTTACAGTATTATTAAGTAATACATACATACATACAAATAGAAAATATTTTCCCATTTGTGCTTATTTCCAAGTAAAGGGGTTTTTAATGTGTACTTTGAGGCAAACATGCCAAATGTATACCGTCTGATTCAATATACTGATATGAATGAATTTCCCATTATCACATCCATTCATTTCTCTTGAACGATATTATCCTTTCTTAGAGGACTCAGCTGTTAATACATTTTCACTTCCCTCTTCAATTGTAGCCTTTAGCACTATATTGCAAGGCTTTAAAAATATACAAGCACTAATGGTTTTTTTTACCCCAAGAGACAAATAAAACTTATTGTATGCCTTGTTTAATAGTATAAATAAAGCTAATAAAGTATTTGAAAGAAATGCCTTAAAAAGTGTATATTCTTGTAGGTTTTATACTCTTACATTTTTCTTCTTTTTAGTGATTGCAACAGCAACCGGAATTCTACTGCTTCTTTCACCAGTATTTGCAGTAGCCAATGCAGTTCTTATTTTCATAGTGATGAAATGGATTCAGGTGCTTTTCAAATATGTGTTTGTGTGTGCATATTTACATACTTATTTAGGGGAAAGTATGTGACATTTGTTTACCAGAACTTGTGTTCATTTATTTTATTTTGTATAACTTGTGTACTGTCACAATTACACATTTATGACAAATTAAGTCATAAAACACCACAACCACAAAAAAAATCACGTCATAACACTCATCGAAAATATTATCTAGTAATTAAGCAGCAATGAAGTAAAGATATGAATTCCCCCAAGCTTAATGTCTATATGTAATGAAGTTGGAAATAATGTCCTTCTTTCACTTATCCTCAAGTATTTTCTTTCTTCAGAAACTTAATTTCTATTTAATTGAACTGGATAGGCGAGACATATAAAACTAATTTACCTATCATTAACTCATATCTGTGGGGCAGACAAATTATACTTGAAAATCAGGATATTTAAAGAATCCTTTTAATCTTCATCTTTCCAAACATCAATAGGCTATTGAAAGAGGACAAAACAAAGGATGTTGTTACTGGCATACATCTGATCTTTTTATTTCCCACTGCAACACTCTAAACACTTAGGGTAATGGATGAAATACTCTGGATGGAATGCTACTATAAATCTGAATGAAGCTGTCAGTTAAGCAATAGGAACTTGAGCGAAATGAAGAAAATCAGACTGAAAGTAATTACTTTTTTTCCAAAAAGAGGGGGGAAACCCCTACTCTCATAGCAAACTTAGTGTTCCAGTTCAATTTCTAGATCTTTTTCAACATCAAGAGAATTCAAATATGGAATATGAATATCTAAAGTCAATGTGATTTCAAATATTGTCTTATTAGGTGATGAACTTCCTCAGAGTATCTGCATTTCTCATGATAAGCAGGATAAACTTTATGGTTGCTTGGAGCATCTTTTTGGTCAGGTAAGCTTTTTCATTTCAGTTTTCTTCTGCCCCACAACATGTGACAGAGATATGAAAGTCTTGGGAAGGAATTGGATAAGAGCAAAGTTAGAACTGTCTAGCACAGTGAACAGGCAAAAAGGGGACCTTGGATGATGTAAGCCATGCTAGTTTCCACTATGCTTTTACTATGCTATGGTTCATTTAAGCAGCAATTATGAATAAACCATAGCTCACAAATCACAACCAAGAATAATCACAGTTTTCAATTGGATAGATTTACACTGCACACTAAACCAAGGCAAATAAATCACATTTCATATCTGCAAGGAACTAAAGTCAACTGAAACCTGACACTGGTTGAGAAAACATCAGAGTGGTTAGTTTTTTCCCCCCATAGACAAGCTTACTGAGTTGTTAAAAGATCTTGTTTGATTGTTTGATTTTGACATTTTGGATTTGTCTACTAAGACCAAAAATGGAGGTAGGTTTCCCCAGTTGAATTCAAATAAAATACATAATGGTGGATCTCCCACATCTCTATTTATATTGTTTCTTCTAACAAATGCCTAGATTTTCCCAACTAGATCTAGCACAGTGGTGACGAACCTATGGCATGCGTGCCAGAGGCGGCACTCAGAGCCCTCTCTGTGGGCACACATGCCATCGCCCCAGCCCCACCTCCCCCAGTGGCCCCCTCACCAGCAGCTCCCCCAGAGAGTTGCCCCTGGCGTGGCCCATGCGGAACAGCGTAGCCAAGGGCATGGCAGCCAGGCAGTGGGGACAAGACTTCACCCTCGCTCTCCGTCGCGTGCAGTTGATGCTGCGGGGCGTGGGTGGAGGGCATGGCCACCATGGTGCTGCTGGGTCGCCTGGGCGATCTGTGGAGGTGGTGAGTGGCCCTGGGGGCGGGCTGGGGGCGGGGCAGAGCAGAGCGGGCAGGGCAGGGGCAGTTTTTGGGCACTCGGTTTCTAAAAGGTTCGCCATCACTGATCTAGCATATACTATAGTATTTTAAATCAGATTGAAAGGATTATCAGAATAATTTTTTTAATATTTATCAATCATTTCTGAATCCAACAGGTAGATTCAATTATTAATCTGCTAAAAGGTCCAGCAGTGGCAAGAGCTTTTGAGCAAACCAAGTTCTTTACTCCTGGTCGAAGTTTTCAAGGTATTAATTTTGCAAAGCTAAGTATGACAGTAAGCATAGTTTCTAGCACTTTTATTAACAATATTACTTTATAATTAACATTTCTTTGAAACACAATATAAAAATTAGAAATGTACTTTGTATTATATTTAGAGAACCTCCAGCATTTTATGGGCCTTTTTTAGCGCACAGATTACTGTGGCAGAAGGAATTGTGAGAAAAAAGTAAAGAAATGCATAGGTTCTTATTGTGTTGTGCAAGATATACTCAAGTAAATGCAGTAAATATTGAACATTTTGAATAAAACTTTTTAAACAGCAGTCTGAGTTTGGCCAGTATTTTTTCCCATTCTCATTCCCACTTTCAATTTTACTTTTCTCCAGATTTTTTTCATTTCTCTAGATAATTTTTCATAATCTCTGCAATGTCTGCTACTCTTTGTTTGTTTTGCTACTCTTTGCTGGAAGAAAGGAGGGAAGTGTATATGCATGTGTGTTTCGCTATGTTCCTGTGTATGAGAGTAATTATATGTGCATGGAAGATAATGGTTGGTATATGCCAATAGGAATCATTTAATGTTGTTAATGGGGTATCTAACTAATTTTAATTAGTTATTGCATTCTCTCACATACAGGGACATTTTTTCTATCCCATTACTCCCTTTTTATGAGTATGCCTTCAAGCAATGTGTTTGTGTGTGTGTGTATATATATGTATGTCTTGAGTGTTTTTTGATGCACCCTGTTGGCCCATTCCATATTGACAAAGTGGGGATGCAATCCACCATCCCAAAACTGACTTAGAAAACAAGGTGTAGCTGAATTCTCCCCTAAATACGGAGTCCAGGGAGACTTGTAGAGTTGTTCATTATTGCAAGGCTAGGATGGCATCCTTCTGCAAATGTACAACTGGAAAGACATATAGCTATAAGAGTATTACAATCAGCTAAAAATATTGTAGCAAAATTAATAATTTTGGTTTTGCCTAGAATTTCAGCAAGAAATTGAACTTAAGGTGACCTGCCCAAAGAAACTGAGGCGTCATATTAAACAAGATCCTTGGAATCTTCCCAGCAGTGTTCAAAACCTTTCTCAAAGCATCCGAAAATTTGTTGAAGGTTAGTAATTCATTTATAGCAGCTCTTGTTGTGTGCTTCTTAGACAGAAGCTCTGAAATATAAGGTTTTCAGATGTTTTAGATTTTCTGAAGTTTCATTAACCAATTTGGTATCATCATCAGTGCAAGTGAGTGTGGGGAATTACTCCATTTATATACAATAGCTTGCCCTTTCAGTATTGTTGGGTTGTGTTTTTTTCTTGGTAGTTTCATGATTAGAGTATTGTCTTCTGCTTGTTGGTGATATTGTTTTCTGCTTATCTGGGTGTTGGCTGATGGAGAGATTCTGTTCTGGTTTGTTTGTCTAGTTTGTTTTCTTAGATTTTTTTTTAATTGTCTTTTTGGAATGGTATGAAAATATGATTTAGATTTATGTGTCTATTGCTAGCTGATTTGTCCTAATGCAAAGCATTTATGTGTATGGATATAGGTATGTGGGAGGAGAGAGAGACAGAGAGACAGAGAGAACACAAACATAAATGTGAATTTGTACACAAACAGATTTTAACTGTAATGTATGCTAACTTACCCAGTGTTTCCAGCCTTGTCATTTTGAAGGGATTTAATTTCTTTAAAGCAATTAATAGACAATTTCCAAAATGTAAAGGAAGTGGGAAAATGATGGCTGGAGCTAGTATGGAGCTAGTCCCAGTTCTCCAATCCTCTGTAGACTATTACTTTGCGTTATTCTCATGAGATTCAATGATATAGTGTGCAGATTGGGGAACCTCACATATTCTCTTTGTCCAGTAAGGATTAAAGGAGCTGATCTACTCAGCAGCTGCCTGTTCTTATCTGTAATCGTTGGCTTCATATCATGCAGAGCCATCTTCAGCCCGCCATTCATTTCCAGGATCCACTGCCTCAGATATTTTCACGGTATCTTTCCCTGGTCTTGCATCATACAGTTCCAGTTCCTAGTTTCCATAGCTTCAGTTCCCTCTGTTCCACAATCCATCTGGACCCTTTCTATTCCAGTAGCATATCTTGGCAAACCAAGAAAGAATCATCCTTCCCCCTTTTTTTGATAAAGTTTCTCTTTTACAGTTTTGTACCAAATTTGTTCTTGGAGCTTTTAGCATCTATCTTAATGAAGTGTGGTATTTTTCATTTAGGTTTTCTGGAATGGTATGTGATATAAAAGTTTATGATTTCAATTCAATATTAATTTCTAGTACTTTTGAATGTTTTTACATGATCACTATATATAATAAAATGTTCTTTGTTATAGTGCTTCCAACATTTATTGTTGCCTTATTTGTCTATCTTGGTAATTATTGATGAAGTTACTGTAAACATTTTATACCTATTTTCCCTTAAATTATTACTCAAAATACATTTTATTATTATTATTTTTTATTTTTTATTTTTTTATTTTTTAGATTTATATCCCGCCCTTCTCCTTGCGGACTCAGGGCGGCTTTTTTGACTTTTTTCATAGCTCTTTCCATTGTTATACTATGATTACTTCTTTGAAGTTTTGCATTCACTTCGTACAACTTTTGATTTATCACCTTTTCATATTTTAATAATAATTTGTACATACGATAATAGGTGATCTTGGTTTTGAATAAGTGCTTCAAACTTTTTCAAGGTCTCTCCCTCTAGCTTGAGATCGTTTTTTTTATTCTTCCAGCAATTTGTTAATATATCAATCATGGTAAATTCCAGTCTTCATTGAACAGTTTCTTTCTTTGTGTACTGTAGTTATCCCTGAAATAAATGGCATTTGATGGCAAAGCTGTTGGTAATGTTACTTGACCTACTGTTTTCTCTGGTTTTTCTTTAGATGGTATAAATAAATATTTTACCCTATATGTATAGTCTTTGTATTTAATTGATAACCTTGTCACTTTGAATAGGGAAAGATATGAAGATCCTTTTTGTTCTTGTGCCTATTGATTGAAAGACATACTGCTTAATAATAGAAATGTAGTATTGAATAGAAAGGGACTCTCCATGAGTGGCAAACATGATTTTATCTTTTCAGGTTCTTCTATTTTTCTTTTCCAGAGGTAAAAGCAAGAGTCCTTCTGGCACTTCTTGAATACACAGGTAATTTTTTTTTTAAAGCTGTTGATCAACTTTTGCAAATGTCTTCATTTGTGCTCTTTGAGTTTTATTGTTTTGTTTCAGATGTTTCACTACCAAACTAGGTAACATCATGAATATGCTGATAATGTTACCTAATTTGATAATGAAACATCTGTAAGAAAACAACCAAGGTCAAAGACGACCAAGGAGTCCAGTTCAACTCTGAGCTACAAATATTCTTTCTATCAGTACTTATAAGTACTGTAAGTAAGTAAAATAGTTTAATATTTAGTAATTGATATTATTAATCTGATCTTAATGAGGACTTCTGGACTTAAAACTTATTTTTGAGGAACAGATGATAAATATAATCAGGAAGGCTTTTGCATAAATTCATTTACAGATGCTCCTTGTTTAACAATGACAATTGAGACTAGAATTTATACCCCTAAGTGACACAGTGTGATGTCATGTGGCTGCACCACTTAGTGACAGAAATCCCAGCACTTCCATTTGCTATTGTTAAGCAAATCATTCTTTGTCATTAAGCAAGAATGTCACATAATCACCAATTGTGACTTTCTGCTGGCTTCCCCATTCATTTTGATTGTTGGAAGCTAACAGTGAAGGTTGCAAATGGTGATCAAGTAACTGCAGGATGCTATGACATTGTAAGACAGTTACCAAGCCATTGTGAGCCAGTTGCCAAGCAGCTGAATTGTGATCATATGCTGTGGGGATGCAGTGACAGCCACAACTGTGAAGACACGTCGTAAGCCCCCTTTATTCAGCACCATCATAACTCTGAACAGTTGCTGAATGAATGGTTGTTAACAAGGACTTCCTCTATAGATACACAAGAGAGTAAGACCCAGGAATCTCACTGGATTCTCACTTTCTGAGCAAAAGCATGTATAAGAATGTGACATAAAGAGGTAACTGATCATTTATAATACAGAAGGCAGTTGCCATGAAAGTAGGCTAACTTGTGGGTATGTATTAGATGTATATGCAGAATACAAAAGTATTAAAGCAGACACATTTAAATTAAACAAGATTCAACAGCAAATAGCATTTTGAATCCATACTGAGGTAGAATAATTTAATAATTAAATTCATTTACGATGTACCTGTACTCTACAAGCTTACTATATAGTGATAGCATGGCATTTCTTTCATCAGCTTGTGCAATCAAAATAACCTACGTGTGTGTGTGTGTGTGTGTGTGTGTGTGTGTGTATATAGATAGATAGATAGATAGATAGATAGATAGATAGATAGATAGATAGATAGATAGATAGATAGATAAAGATATAGATATAGATATATAGATATAATTTGGTGCTTATTAGAAATTTTTATGCCCAGAAAACAAGATCAGTGCTTAGGACTACACTTACTTTCTCATCAATTTAGATGATTTTTCACCTATTTTTCCTAATATGCTTTTTTCAGATAGTGAGATACAGCTCAGGAGAGACATGGTCTTTTGCCAGAGTCTAGTAGCTACAGTTTGTGCATTTTCAGAGCAATTAATGGCTGCCTTAAATCAAATGTTTGACAATGGCAAGGAGTATGAAATGGAAACACAAGAGGCCAGTAGGAGATGGTTGGAACAGATATCTACTGCAGGCGTCCTCATTTACTTCCAGTCATTGTTGTCACCAAACCTGGTGAGAATTCCTATGAATGTCTATATAATATTGACCAATATTTTATTATCCTGAACAACACCTGAAATGAAATTCTACAAAAGAGCAATTTTTCAATAATGCTGTTGAATATTAATTGAAAACATTCTATATTATTCTAAAGACTTGGTAAATCAAACCAATAGGTCAACAGTATCAGGAATATGTTATATTGTCCCACAGTGAGCTAGGTGGCAAATAAATTTAATAAATACTAATAATAATCCTGCAACAATCCTCTAACACCATTGAATATCAACATTTGCCTCGATAGGTGGATAAAAATGCCAGATCCAGTCTGAACATCTGGCTGAACGTGCGACTATCTATAATGTGCCAAAGTAAAAGAGCCAATTAGTTCATATTAATATTCAAAATTACTTCTAGTCTTTTAGATCTTTTTGTTGCTTCTAATTATGTCCGTTTTCTTAATTTTGAAGTGTTCTCTGAAGCCAGAACTGCGAAAGATTTGAGACTCTTAAAAATAGCATTTCTAGCCCTATACCATTAACTACAGTCCTCTAGCCCTCATTCATGTGAAAGTGCTGTTTCTTCTCCCTTATATGTGATTTGGCTTCAGTTCTATTTTCTCCAGGACTTCTTTTGTAACCTGTGATACCAGGATCCATTGGATTGAATCTAGCTGACATTAGTTTCACTTTAGTTTCAATGAAAGTGATGGTACATTAGTCATTAAATTGGTTATAACCTAGTTCTCATATGACGTCTGTCTGGAATGAACACATTATATTGTAATTGTTAATGCTGTTGAACATTGTTGACTTAAATTTATATCTTTTTAATTTATTCCATCAGAAAATTGTTTCTTCTTAAATAATACTGAGTTTTCATTCTTTTTGATTTCTGTGGTTTTGTATCAGTGTCCTATATTCCTCAATTTTGAAGCAGTTTTCCTCAGTGTGATATTTCAGGCCACCAATGTGTCCCCAGAGATCTCTTGGCACTCATCAGTTCCATTTTTAGATGAGCTTAATTTTCAACCAGTTATTTTGATTAATAACGAGGGATCTTGGAAAACTACAAATGAAGTGTCAACCTCACAAGTGTTGCTAGAAAATAAAAAGATCAAGTGGGTTCAGCCTAGTTGTTTATTTGGAAATGTATTTTCCTACAGAGGAAAAAAAATCCAAGAATGATCTGGGATGTAGAAAGATAAATCCTGAAGGGATTTGATGGGGAAGCAGTGAACAATTTCATATATATATACCTCTGGTGAATGATGGTGCAATGCTGGCAACCCGCCAAATGAAATGGAATAACCAAACTGCCATGGCAGGCCATTCTGTGGTGTGTGTATCTGTATTCTTGTGTAGCTACGATTTGTCCTCAGAATTTCAGATATTTATTTATTCATTCAATTTCTATAGCTGTCCTGCCTAATTCAGTCAAGTGACTCTGGGCTGCTTACAGTTCTAAAATTATAAAAGAATTAAACTATCAAATGTAAAAACATCCAGAAAATAAATACAAACAGCAATCGAGATAATTAAGAGCCCTAGGATTGGAATGTGAGAAAATTACAAATTATTTTAGAAGCCACAATACAGAACGTTATTTTCTTTTCAGTATACTAAATATTGTAATTTACAAAAGCCAGTGTAAGCACTTGACTTGGTTTGTAGTAACACATTTTAAATATACTCATTTACTTGAACAAGCTTGGTTTGTAGTAACACATTTTAAATATACTCATTTACTTGAACAACAATTAAAATTCTGTGCAATGTAAATAGCCAGGTTTTTAAAGCCTTGCAAAAAGTCCATAGGGTTAGAGTGATTCTAATCTCCAAGGGGAAAATGTTCCACAAGATGGGACTGTAGCAGAGATATGCCTATTAAGCCAACGAATTTCGGATTTCTGGATAAGAAATTCTGCTCATATTTCAGCCTTTCCCAATTTTGTGCCCTATTGTACTATACTTCCCAAAATTCCCAAATAAACATTGTCCATGCTGGCTGAGAATTCTAAGTGTTGTTATACAGTACACTGAATGACATTAGGTTGATGAAAAGTGGCTAATCTTTAATAGATTAACAATGTTTCTGGAAGTTGTGATACATCTGCATTATTTTACATTTTACATTAGAAAATAATCAGAAATTCCTTGATTTTTTTTCTTTCTAAGTTCTATAAATCTGCCTTCTAGTAGACTATAGTTCTATGTCAATGTTTTCTTTGTTAGCAACGTGAGAAAATTACGAATTATTTTAGAAGCCACACTAATACAAAACTTCATTTTCTTTTCAGTGTATTAAATAGTGTAACATACAAAAGCCAATGTAAGCACTTAAGCTTGGTTTGTACTAACATATTTTAAATATACTCACTTGAACAATGATTAAAATTCTATGCAATTAAATTACACAGCCAACACAGTAATTAACTTTCTGTTCTGTATACATTGTTGCTAATAATTTGACAAGAGAAAATGGAGTAAAATTCAGTGGAAGTCAATCCATCTTAATTTACTGATGAGTCAGTTTATTGCTTCAGTGAAAGAGGATATGACCATCTGCAGTTAATGTTTATAATAATCAGTCTAGCATGATTATTACTTTCTGTCTCTCTCTCTATATATTTGCAGACTGATGAACAAGCTATGCTAGAAGATACATTGATTGCATTGTTTGACTTGGAGAAAGTTACATTTTATTTTAAATATTCTGAACAGGAACCTTTAATAGCAAGTGAGTATTGCAAAGTATACTTAAATTTCCCCTTTCAATATTTATGGTAAAATATTTGATGATATAACATTTTCATTTGTGTCACATTTGCTTGTATAGTAAACTTCATTGTATCCTTATGCGCATGCAAATTTTTCAACTTTTAACCATTTTGGGGAGATTGGTAATATCATATATAATATTTACCTCATTTTTCTTATTTCATAAGTAACTCGAGGTGACAAACATAATCCTTCCTCCTCCTTTTTTTTCCTCCACAACAAGAACACTATGAGATACATTGGGCTGAGAGAGAGTGATTGCCCCAAGGTCATTCAGCCTAAACAGGGACTAAAACTCATGGTCTCCTGGTTTCTAAGCCAACTCCTTTACCTCTATACCAAAGTGGCTCTCCAACCTCCATTTCTTTATAGTACCTAACAAGACAGTAGATTTAATGTTACTTATGATAGCTATAGGCATTAGTATAAGTTAGAGGGAAAATGAGAATTATTAGGGTAGGCAGCCAGGCACAAAATAGAAAGATGGGCAGCAAGTCTTTATTCAAGTCTCAATATGAACACAATGTATGAATACAGTCACAATTTCATTTTTTTTCTTAAAGGTATCTCAGAAATCTAATGATACCTACAAAAGAAACTATAGAAGAAAAAGTCTTTCTCTGATTGGGAGTATTACATTTTCACTGAGTTTTTAAAATTAAAAATGGCTGAAATCTTTTAATATTTATGCAAGAATGTGAAGTCTTGTAGGATTTTAGACACTAAAAAGTATGTATTCTTTAAAAATAAATGTTTAAAAATTGAAATGGTCACATTTAGTATTCTCATTGGGACTTCATTTGTGCCCCATCAATGGATGCTTCCTTTAATATCCCCATTACTCCATGTAGTATGTTATCACTGCATTTTCATATCTTTATCCAGCAATATAAAGTAAGGAAATTAACTATGTGATGATACTGTGACATATAATTAGTATTTTACAAACATTGTGGCAGAAAGATTCAATGTTTGGCATTCAAACAGTAGGTCAATGTAGATTTTTAATCTGAACTATGTTTCCTAGGGCAACACAAGGATTAATTGTGATGTTTTGTTTTATGTCCCATCTTTAACCCAAAAACTTTGAACTAGTAATTTTGACTAAAATATTATTTTATTTTATTTTTAGATATGCCAATCACATTTCAAGCAGAAGGAAGTCGGCAAGCTATGAAAATTTATTTTTATCTTGATAGTTACAATTTTGAACAGCTTCCTCAAAGGCTGAAAAATGGTGGAGGTTTTAAACTTTACCCAGTTCTATTTGCACAAGGTAAAATATTTTCAAGTTCACCTATTCTTAACACTTTTTAAAAACTTATAGGAAAAATTATATAGTTACTGGCATTCTGAAGCTTGACAGCATTTATGGATAAGCAATATTTTGAAGAAAATCACATCATGCATAAGTAAAATGTATGTATGTTATTCTACATTTTGAATATTTTATTGCATTTATCTTACTAATGTCTATTTTTAATATATTCATTTGTTTGTACAGTTCTGTCTAGATAGACATCTTCTTGCATGGTTGAATTTGATATGATGTACAAATGTTTCTTTTAAAAAACATGTGCTTTTGGGGAATTCTGGGAGTTGAAGTCCATCCTCATTAAAGTTGCCAAATTTGAAAAAAAAAGATCTAAAAGTTTAAAAATTGTTTTCAAATTTTGTCAGTAAAGAGGATAATTATATGGTTTGGGAATGTTTTTTATCCTGAAAGCATAATATAATCTCTATATTAGAGATTAACAAATCTCTTACTGAGTTGAAAACAGCTGTTGCAGATACTTAGGTTAGCCTAATCTTATGTGTTAACTTGATGGTGTCCTATAGGAATGTGTATATCCTCTATGCAACAGTGAAATGCACAACATTCTTACTTAACATATAGTATATTTAAAGGTACAGAAAAGAACAAGCTCCTGATATCTTTCTACTTAGAAATTTTTTTCTTTAGATAATATGACCATGTACGTGAGTGTTTGTGTTAGCTGTGGAAAGGCAATATCATATTTGGAGAACTACAACATTTATAGATATAGGAAAACTGGAAAAAATAAATTAATGGATCAGTTTGATAAGAATCTGTATTGTTTCCTTTGTATTCTTTTATAGCCCTGGAAAGTATGGAAGGATATTATTATAGAGACAATGTATCAGTAGAAGAATTTCAAGCCCAGATTAATGCAGCTTCATTGGAAAAAGTAAAACAGTATAACCAAAAACTCAGGTGAGCTATTTGTTATTTCTAAGCACAAAATGCTTAAAACAATATGGACAAAAGTCCGGCTTTCGTGGATCATAGTGTGCAAACACATTCAGATTTTTCTTTTTTCCAGTCTGAAATCAGTCTAGTTAATATTTTGACTAATTATATAGGGAAAAATAAAGACAAACATCTGAACATATGACATATTTCCAATATAATTCCTATAATCTACTCAGCCAACTTTACATGCATATTTTGGTACTTCATGTGAGAGTCTGTACTATGGTTTTTGTTTTATTATTTCACTGCCACAATTTGATTTTTTTCAGTATTGTGAACCATCAAGTATATCAAGATAATTGCATCTTTTGAAGATATGGAAGTGAATCTAACTCTTATTAGTTATGTAAAAGAGACCGATGGGCACATAATACCAAATCATCTCCTATGAACATAATAACTTCTTTATGTTGCTGATGAGTTCTCACAAATTAAAATAGATGTTCAGATTAGAAGGAAATTTGTATTTCACCTTTCCTTCCAAATGCTTTACAACTTACTCATTTTGTTGCTTGGGCTGTTTAAAGAGAGAAGACAAATAACAGTAAATTCCTTTCAGTAACACAGTGCATAAAAACAGTATATTATCTTCCCTTCCTCTCTCTTAGTAACAAAAGCATTATTTTGTATTGTACAAAGTAATTATATTTCTATGTGAGCTCAACTTTATCAACAAATTTGTTGAGTTAGCAACAGCTGTAATGTCATTAATGCACCACTCTATTGTTATAGTTCTCTTCTGTCATGTTCCAAACAATAGGCTTATTCCTATATTGTTTTCACAATGCTACACAATTCCATTTCAAGTTGAAAATATCCCTATGTTATGCCAAATGATAAAACTAAGACAAAGATTGCAGCCCTAAGAACTAAATCTGTTTTTTTCTAATCTCCATTTGTTTAATTTCTTTTCAACCCAGAAAAGGCCTACCTATGAAAGTTGTGTATAGTTTAAAAAGATTCAGGAGTGTTTTGTATTTCATGCAAGCTCAGCATTACTCTACTATTTATTAACAAAACTTCTACTTTAGATTTGTTTAAAAGTCTGGAAAAAAAAGATATTGTTGCTTTAGTTAGTAGTAGAGAGGTTGTGCTCATCAAACTTTCTGCCTGATAACACTTGGATTTTGTAATTAGTCTTTGCTAATTCTGTTTTCTTCAGAGCATTTTAAAAAATAGCATATTGTTTTCTGTTTTCAGGTTGTGATTAGGTTTAGCAGTGTCTATTTACTCTGAATCTATGTTGATTGGAAGATGATTTCAATCAGAAGAAATTTCCAGAATGATCCTTATGGGGCCAGGAGTCCTAGACTGTATTGATATATTAGGTGAAAGACAGGGTTGTTAGTTTTACCAGACTCTTCCTGTCATCAATTTAAGTGTTTGGGGATTGTCGCATCAGGATTTTTTCAAATAAAATAATGTATAATACATGATGAAATCTCATTTTATTTATGTGTTTATTTATTCAATTTGCATGGCTGCCCATCCCATCAAGTAACTATGGGATGATAAACAATTTTACTAAAACCAATTCAAAACCAATTTGAATACAAAAATTAAAATATATAGCAACTGAGGAGAATGTCTCAGTCAATGGCTGTTAGCACAACCAGGAGACACAGGAGATTGATTGTCCTTTGTTGGAAATTTTCAACAGAATTTTGATATCTATTTTGGGGGGATAGTGTAGTATCTCTGGTGGGCATGACTTTGAAGTAATTGATCTCTAAGATCCCTTTCAAACTTTACATTCTATAAACCTATGTTAATATCTATCAACACAGTTTGCAGTAATGGTTCATTAATGCACTGTGTGAATAAATACTTTCTTTTGTCTGTCCTAAATTGCCTTCAAATCAGCTTCATTGGAACAATCCTGGTTCTGGTGTTTTGAGAGAGGAGAAAAAACTAGATTTGCAAAACAGCTTTTTGTTTGTTTTTGTGTTTGTTCCTTTCTCCAAAGAAGTGGAACAGGAACAGGTTCTGTGCTGCAAAGTGAGGCTCCAGTTTGTATGCATTTCTCTTTCAGTCTTCCTCATTCCCAAACCACTGTTTGGGGGAGGTGATATATGTGGGAAACGTCACATTGCTTTTCCTAACTTCACTTCAAAATTAAACAATGCATTTATTTACAACTGAATGCATACTCTTTTTATCCTTGTGGACACAACTTCTCCCAACACAAAGTAGGGCTAGAGAGGTACTGTAAATTCCTCCCTTACATATAATTTTCACTCCTTTCTCTTGCTCCCCCTCCATAATCCCAGGTTTGCAAAACTGAAAGTCACATAAAAACAAGGAAAAAAAATATGGTTAGGGTGGAGGATGGGAAGAAAGAGGTGGCAAACTTGTGTTAATGATTTTTATAATAAAACCATACAACTGAACCAATGCAACACAGGATAGATACAACAATAAACAAACAACTCCCCCATCACACAATATTAAAACATTCACTATACAATATATAAATATAAGAGGGAAAATATAAAACATTTAGTTTCCTTTTGTAGTAATTAAAATGCAGTGAGAGAGGTAGAACGGCAAATGAAAATAGAGCAGTCAGTCTCCTGTCAAATGTGGTGAGGCAAGGGAATTCTATGTTTCACCAGAGAATTTTGAACTGCAGATGGTGAGGACAATTGGGGAAATTAAAATGCATTGAGCATTATTTGCAAATGGAGAAGCTGTTGGTATACAATAGCGGATTGATGCTCTTACATTAAGTAACCTGGGTTTACGAACAGAAGGTTTAAAATTCTGTTCCTTAAACTGGAGAATGATAGGTAGCAACTCACACAACCTAACCTTGATGTAGAACAGAATCAAGTTTTCTCTGTCAGTTTACGGGTATTCTACATTTACAACAAAACCCTTCAATAATATCTACTAAATTTTAAAAGCTATAATGCAAACACTTTCTGCATAAGCATTAAGATTTCATTCTTATCATTTTAAGTAGATTAAAAATTGAGTCTTTCAGGTAATATGCCAGCTTTTCCATTAGCTTTCCTCATAACATCTAATTGAGGTTCTCAACAAGCATTTAGTAATTAAGTGAAGTGCTTTGGGAATTTGTATGCTATCCACCAAATATCCTTTTGTGAAAAGCCACTGGAAGTTGCTCTACCAGTTTTCACTCAAGTGTCAGCTAATTAAGGAGGATTTGTTTTTTGATATGTCATATTTTAAAAGTCTAATTTTGGGAGGAATAGCATTACTCCCAGAGCCAGTTTGATGTAATAAGTAAGGCCAGAAACTGGGAGGCCATGATAAATACTAGTCCTGCTTTAGACACAAAGCCAACTGTCATTTTTTCACTTGTGCTGAAAAAAAGTTAAGAACACTTAAAAAGAACTCTCCCAGCAGCACCTATAACAGTGGCCATGTATAGAAAACAGTGAAGTTACATTTGTAGAGGTATGCACCATTCCAAATTAATCAGGTCTGTGTTCACACATACATAATATGTGATGTTTTGCAACACTGCCCCCATTCTGTCCATTTTTAGATATAAGAATGTTATATTTAAAAGTGTACCAGCAGCAATAAGGAGAAAAAGTTGGTCTATAAAGGCTAATATATGTATAATGCATTTCCAAACATTTAACCAAGAAATAAGTCCCAAGTGATTGTAGTTCTTACTTCCTAGTAAATGTGCATAAGTTTTCAAAATTATTTGGATCAAACTTTCATAGAATGTTCAGTTGTCTATTTTTTCTGATGCATGACCTTTTGGCCAAAATCTGACGCTAAGAATAGCTCTGAAATCGGTTATTTTACATGTATTTCAAACATTCCGAATACATTTTTGGTCTCTGTGCAAAATGAAACTTTATGTCATAATACATTTTTAAGAGTCACAGATTTATATTGCATTGCTGGCAGGAATCTTTTTTAACTGAAATGTATTTTAAAAATAGTTTATATTAGATAAATATGATGTGAAATGTCATTTCCTTTTTTAATATGTACTACACAATATGAGAGTTTTGTTTAAAATTAGCAGTATTGCTTCCCATCATTTTAAATTGGAAAATATATAAACACTCTAATTGTAAGCATAAATAAATTTAACATAATTCAGGAAGATTCCTACACATAAAGTGGCTAAAATCCTAGCTTTATACAAGTTCATGACTTATGGACACTTTGCATATTTGGCCTGTCCCAATGGCCCTTATATTCCTGAGGGTTGTTGTGCAGGTCCCAAACCCCCCAAAAGTGTCACTCTTGTACAGATGAAGGATATTTTTAATTATGCTGAAATGAAATTATAAATACTATTGTGAGCATGGATTCTGATGCATAATTTTTATTTACTGTGATGATTTGCAAAAAGCTGCTGTTATTGTGATCAAAGCCTGTATGAGAATCAAGAATTCTAAACATGTAAAAAAGAATTTTATAATTTAAAATTCTATTCTCTTTATTGTCTCTTGAGCATTTGTCTACATTCTGTGGTAGAATGCTTTTAATTCAGCTTTTGAGTACTTCAGAATTATTTTTAGCACAATAACATTCCACATAGGGATTCATAAGGCAGTTCATATTTAATGTCCTGCAATTTCAGGGTTGTAAATAGTTTAACATGTCACAAAGAGACTGAATGCATTTATCTTATAAATGTTATTGAGAAATATTAATATATTGTGGGGTGTTCTTTTCCCAGAGCATTTTATCTGGACAAATCAAATCTTCCTCCTAATTCAACATCAAAAGCTGCTTATATCGATAAGGTAAATCAATAGGTATGATTAAAGTAAAATTTGAATATGTTCTACAGGTTAGTCCTCGACTTCTGACCACAACTGAACCCAAAATTTATGTTGCTAAGCAAGACAGTTGTTAAGTGAATTTTTCCCTATTTTACATTTTACCTTTTTTGCTACAGTGAATAAGTGCAGATGTTAAGTTAGTAACATGGCTATTAAGTGAATCTGGCTTTCCCATTGACTTTGCTTGTCAGATGATCTCAAAAGGTGACCACGTGACCCCGGGACACTGCAACCCTCATATATACAAGCCAGTTGCCAAGCACCCAAATTTTGAACATGTGACCATGGGATGCTGCAACAGTTGTAAGTGTAAAATGATTGTAAATCATTTTTTCAGTGCTGTTGTAACTTTGAACAGTCACTAAATGAATGGTTATAAGTGGAGGTCTATCTTTATTGTGAAGCAGTGCATCCTGTATATATATATAAATATAACCTTAAATTGCATGAAATACTTTCATTGTCCCATAGTAATAAGATTTTAAGTGCTGAATATTGAGAAATTGGAAAGGTGCCATCTCTCTTCCAAGCCTATTATATTCAGAACTGCAATTAATTTGTTTGGCATGGAGAATGACTAAAATGTAAGTTTAAAGATGTTGTCAGATACCACATTTGTTTTCATCTCATTGTGTGAGATTTTCATTCTGTTGAGGGCACCATTTTTGGACTGTGCCTAGGAAATCGGTTAGCCTTAATCTGGTCCTGTTTAGGTCAGTGTTTTCAGAAAAAAATATGTTGTACTAAAAAAATTTAGAGTTAATGTCTGCTTGTCATATATGTTTATTGAGAATCACTACATAGAATAATGTAACTACTCTGGTGCACTGAAAAGCAATTAAGAAAGCCTTGAAGTGAAAGACAATGCCTGAGAGATTGCCAAAGAGTATATAAAAAGGCATGGTAAGCGAAATTAGACCCATGTGAGAAAGAGCCTTTTCTGTGTGGTTGTAATGTAATGCAATAACCTATCTCTTGCACAAACCTTTAATTGATTTTAATCTTACCTGATTTTAATTGTGTTGCATTGATTTCACTTGTATATTTTATAATTTATGTTTTTGCTTGTTATAGGTTATTCTAAGTGTTGTATAGACAGAACTGCAGGATTTAAATTTAATAAATGGTCATCATATGAGTTATGGAAAGAATAAAAGTTAGGACTTCATCTTTACAGGATGTTCAAGACAGCAGCAATTTTTTTTTAATTTTGTTGAACTTAAAATATCACATGATCACTATATTGTCTTTTAATGATAGTAGCATTGTATTTTACTTGGCAGCTAATGAGGCCTGTAAATTCTTTGGATGAACTTTACCGACTAATGGCGTCTTTCATAAGATCCAAGCGCACAGCAGCCTGTGCTTACACAGCTTGTGGTGCTTCTGGAGTTGGACTACTGTCTGTCTCTTCAGAACTTTGCAGCCGACTGGGAGCTTGTCACATCGTCTTATGCAACAGTGGAGTTCATCGGTATGGCAATTTATATTTTCTAAAAATTACTGTTAATTGCTGTCCAGACTCAAGAATAAAGATGGGTATGGATATGGATATGAATGGCAATAACTATCTTGCAATTATTTATGCTGCTCCAGTCATTAGCAATATAGAACTGCTTCACAGAAAATTGTAAAATAATTCCAATAGATTAATGCCTTATTGCATGAGTAGAATTCTGTTGGGCTATCATGATAATATGTAACATTTTTCACATTCTCTAAAATATATATTTTAAAATGGAATTGACATTTTCCAAAACTAATTGGTTCTACCTACATAGCCTAGTATTCTTCTTGAATACATGATGATATTGCCAAGTTCTCTCAACAGATTGAGGTGTCATTCTATATATTGCATTAGATCCTTCAATTCAACAAGAGACATAGTGTATAACAAAAACTGCTCTGAAACTGCTTCTAAGTACTTTCAACTTTATCCTGAACTATGTTTCCTTAACATTCATCTGGATTACCTTAACAAACCCAGAGCCAGATCTTATTTTATTCTGCAACAACGATGATATCACACTCCAGAACATTACATTTGCATTGGATACTATTGTACTGTTCCATCAGTATGCATTTTACCCAAATCTGTTACAGATAGACCTTAACTTATGACCATAAATGAGCCAGAAATTTTGGTTGTAAGTTGTTGCACAAAGGGGTTCGCAATCTTTTTATGTTGTGAGTTACATATTTTGTGATGGTATGGCCAAAAAGAAAAAAAAATGTTTTAAAAAGTTAGAAATGGCTCATTTAGTCATTCAGCTATTTTAACTACAACAAAATAGAGAAATGTATTGATAAACCTCATAGAGATTTTTATACTATGTGGATATCTTGACAAACAAGTAGATGTATTATGTGACATGGCACTGAAGCTTGCTTATATTGCATATCATCCATACTCATGTCTTAAACATGAACAGTAATGCCTGGATGGAATTACACTATATTATTTTTTTATAGAGTATAGATGTTTAAATGACTGAGCTACTCTTTGCTAGAAATATAAAATACAGGTAGTTCTCGAGTTATTAATGTAATGAAGCCTGCCCATTCCATTCATAACTTGAGTACTCATAGGGGTGAATCTCATATGTTGAATGAGATCACTCCCTGCTTTTGCCCACACATTCGCTAATCGAATGCATGGGCAAATGCATAGTTTGTTAAGTACACATGAGGTATCTCATGGTGGGGAAGGCCATGGGGGGCCTGGTGATGGAACAGTCCCCCAATGTCTCCCCGACCCACTAAGATACCTCATGCTTCCCCCTCCCTTCCTGCTGTGCTGGACTCACTTACCTTGAGAAGATCTGTCTCCTTTCTGCAGTGGTTTCTGCCTTTGAGGAGACGAGAGTCAATGGAAGCTCCTGGATGCTGTAATATTGCGTGAGTTCAGGCGCCCAATCTCTTTTGCAGAGAATGAGTGCCTGAACTCTCGTGAGATCATGGACTCCAGAAACTTTCATTTTTGGTGCAAACACTGTGCCTGTCTCCTGCTCCCCCCAACTCCTTTCCACCATTCCGGAATACTTTTTTTCCAAACAGAGACCTTGGGGAGACTGGAAACTCTGTGTGTAAATTCTTGAAAACCCAGAAATTTGCTGCATTTTCAAGCGCTCCATTTGCTCATAGAGCTTTCAGTTTTCCCAAGGTCTCCATTCGGATAAAATATGTTTGAGCAATTTGCTGTGTTTCCAAGCATTCCATAGGCGCTCAAACATTTTTTATCTAAAGGAGACCTTGGGGAGACTGGAAGCTTCGTTTGTGAGCAAATGGAATGCTTGAAAACACAGCAATGGTCTCCCCCAGGTCTCCGTTCGGATAAAAAGTGTTCCGGTGGTAGTGGAAAGGAATTGGGGGAACAGGAGACAGGCAAAAGAGGATGGGTGCCTGAACTCACATGATATTACGGCATCCAGGAGCTTCCATTGACTCTTGTCTCCCTCAAAGGCAGTAATTGTGGCAGAGAGGAGATAGATCTTTTCAAGGTAAGTGAGTCCAGTGCAGCAGGAAGGGAAGGGGAAGCAGTTGTGGAGAGTGGGGGAGAATAGGGTGAATGTTGCAGAACTTCTGCAATCGTTCCTAAGGGTGAACAACTGCCGTGATGCTGCAACATTTGTAATTTTGGGATTTGTTTGTAAACACTAGGGGATGCTTATCACGTAACTTTGAATGAGCGTTAATGCTCGTAACTCAGGGATTACCTGTAAAGATACATCTAGCGTATGAAATGCGCCCAGTTTTCCAGAACAAGTGCAAGTAACATAAGAAGCTATTTGTCAATCTTCCTTTAGTGGAGATCTTTTTGAAAATAGAAATAGAAATTTGTACAACTGCAGTACAATTGCATACTTCACAAGGATAATAACCAATTACGAAAAATAAGTTTCTAGATTCAATTTGGTTCATAAAACACAATCTGAACCATCTTTCCCACTGGGCGCTTGTTTTGTATTAAAATAGTTTTGCTCAGTTTTTAAAAAAGAAAAAGTAATAATAGCTCAGAATTTTAACTGTCAACTGCAATTTGTACAATTCATTATTTTATAACAATAAGATTGTTTTTAAACAGTCTCTGATGTAAACTCCAAGATGAGTTTTCTGTTTTGATTTTCATTACCTAGATTTGTTATTATTCTCTGTAACAGTATCTAGAGGAAAAAATAAAGTGCATATTAGAAATTAGGACAGCAATGAAGGTTTTATGCTCCAGGGTAGGTTGTTTTAGAAAAAAAAACCTGCATTATTAACTATTGCAAGTATAGATGTAAAACAAACTATCACAATATCTGTAATAAACGTGAAATAAAGACTGAAATAAAATCTGGAATTCTTTAAATGTTCTGTGACTTCTTGAAATTGGGACCATGAAATCTAGGATTTTTAGAGGCCTTATTCTGTCTTTTGGTTTCTGTATATACATATATGCATGCAAATAAGATATATGAAGATGGTACATACCTCTTAGGGCAGGGCCAAGTTTGAATACCCGTCTTAGGGAGTGTGGTTACATGGTACTTCTAGAGCAGGGGTGTCAAACTGCCGGCCCGTGGGCCGGACACGTCACACGGAAACCGTGCTCATCCCATTGCTGGCAATGGCAAAACAGTCCCAATATGTTGCGTGATGTCACATGACTTCGCGAGTTTGACATGTCTGTTCTAGAGGCAATATTTAAACTATTTTGATACATAGGCTATCTCCCTTAGCCTTGTGAAGGCTATCAGCAATATAGGGCAGGCATCAGAAGAGAATTGAAATTTTAATGGGCAGGTTTAATAATAATAATACAGACTTTTGGAACTCTCCTCTGTATTTTGAATAAAATCCTAATATTATTGACATTCTCATGAATGAAAACTAATTTATTTAAAAGTCATTAATAAGTGAAATCCAGCAAAGTTAATAGAGTGAGTAAATAGTAAAAGGAAAAGCTGGTAGGATATTTATTTAACAATGAGAAGATAAAATCTAAAATTAATATTTAAAATATTTGTTTTTAAAGTTATTCAGTAAAAATAATATGTAGTTATAATTGTTTGAAGTGTATATGAGAGATTTATGGAAGTCTGGTAGGGGGAGAAGAATACATACATCACAAGATTGTGATACAAACTCTGCCCCTTACATACTTGTGTGGTATTTTCTGATGTAAGTATGAAGTGGAAGAATGCATCATGATATGGCTAGACATGCTTTACTATTTTGGCATAATCTTGGCTATGCAAATGACTAGGATATTAACTGCTGGTTTGGTTCTCTATACTTTCTTAATTTCAGAGAAGAGAATTAAATATCGAGCATCCAACAGCTGAAAAAGAAGTAGAGCCAAAATGCAGAAGTTTGAGCAATCTCTGATATTGTATCAAAGCAAAAAAGAGTTCTTGTACCACAGTATTTCATTGTAATATATACTTCTTCCTTTTAAGCCTCACAGTATTATGTGTGGAGCATGTTTAGATTTATTAATCAGACATAAAAATAAATTAAGTCTATCAAGCTAACTTTCTAAGTTAGTAATTGAATTTGAAAATTAAAATGTTACAGCAGCAGCTTACAGAAGATTTCAATGCCATTTTAATTCTTGTCTGACTAATGAGTAATGCATTAAAATTATATACAGCCTTAAAAATACCAACATTGAATGTGTTTGTAAGCCACCTGGGGCGACCTATGTGCGAGTTATAAATTTGTTTAATAAATAAAATAAATACTGATTTCTCTGATTTTTGTTTAGTTGTACTCTGAGCATCACTTTAGAGCAAGCAATCATTCTTGCTCGGAGTCATGGTCTACCTCCTCGCTATATCCTCCAAGCTACAGATGTGATGCGCAAGCAAGTAAGTTATTCCTCTCTTTAGTGGTCTTTTTTCAAGGCTATACTGTATATACACAACTTAAATAGATACAATTCTTTTAATTTATTTATTTTCATAGGACCTTCTCTTAACTCTTGCAATTTCTCTGAGCATAGATTCCTATTTGGTAAATTATTCTCTGCTCAAAATTGCATTTGCCTTTTTTTTTTGTAGTCACATGGCTCATATTCAGTTTGCAATCAATTATTACTCTACCATCTTTCTTTTAAGTGCCATTACCAAGCCAAGGATTCCATATCCCATGTCTGTAACAACTTGCAATTATCTGTTACATTTTTTTCTTTACTCTCAATTCATTTCTCTGACCTAGCAAGATCATTAAAATTTTTATGTTAATCTACTAAGTTATTCGAATTAGATGTTTTAATATTTTTCAGTGTTTTAATGGTTTTACTGTTTTTATTGTTTTAAAATGTTTTACAGATTTTAATTGTAATATATGTCTCTTAATTGTGAGCTGCCCAGAATTGTTTGCTGAGATGGATGGCTATAGAAATCAATTAATTAAACAAACAAACAAACAAATAAGCTATCTTAGCAATTTTGCATTATCTGTAGGTTTGTTCTACATGCCTTCAAGGTTAACACCAATCAATAAAATATGGAACATTCCAGGACTCAGTACTGAATCCTGTGGCCTCATTTCAGCTTGATGAGGAACCATTGATTAGTGTTATTTGAACACGATTTTTAAGCCAGCTATGTACTCCCTGTATTAGCATGATGTCCAGCCCACATTTGTCTAGTATGCTATTAGAAATACGTAGTGCTTGGATTGAAAACCAAGTAAGTGCTTTGGAGTTGTATGCATGCTGTATGCTGTATATTTTTTTCCTTTGGTTCAACTGGTAGGTTCAATAGCAGAAAATTACATCTTTGAATTGGAGAAGTACCAACAGTGTGTATGTAACAAGGTGTTTTGGAATGGCATGGGTACAGCGTTGACACCTCATTAACTCAAATGCATATTTTCTTGATATTGTGCAGATACTATACAAGCCCAGGAAAAGATGTGGTTTCTTTAAAGAGGCACTGAGAGTGTGGGCTGAACAGTAACATACATTTTCCATTAGCATTTTTATGCATATATTTCTGATATACAAGTACAAGTAATTATTTTTATATTCTGCCTTTTTCCTTTTTGAAAGTTAGTTTGGTAATTATCATAGCAGATGCTTAAAAAAATTGTATGGGAAGCACAACTATTTTTCATTCTTATAGGGAGCAAGAGTTCAAAATACTGCAAAGAATTTAGGAGTTAGGGACCGAACACCACCATCTGCTCCAAGGTAATTTAACATTTCAATTTATTTCTTTTTCCTGAAATAATTTTAACAATTTTTGCCAGGTATATTTTCTGGATTTGCAAGGGCACTAATGTTTAATTTTTTTTAGAATCAGATTTTAATGTAATTATATTTACCTAGTAATTGGTTTCTCAGTAGGAACATCATCAAATTTAAAAAAATTATACTAAAGTGAGAGTTTGTGTTCTGAATTATTTTTTACAAAGAGTTCACTAAAACGATTACATGAAGAACTTTCAATACCCAAGATATTATAGTAAAAATACTACATCTTGCTCTCACAGAATGGTGCTGAGCTACAGTATGAAGAGATGTCAGTGAAACTTTGAAAGACTCACTCATATTAATGCTGTATTTTAAAGCCCTCAAATATATCTGTAGTTTAAATACATTTCTAAAGTAGAAAATAAATGCTAAATGTTGGTTATGCAGTGATCCCTTCCATTTAATTAGTGGCATAATTGAGAAAAGCAGTAGAAGACTCTTCTTTGTATCCTTCTCTATTTGCTATTATGAGATGCCATTGGACATATTGGACATACAGGGGTAACATGTTGATGCATGGGGAGAAAAGCCAGTATCTACAATTGTTCTCTGTTCAAATACTGAAGAATTATCTTGCTGTGGATCATTTCAGATAGTGACAGATCTAATTGGGGATCAACATGAGCCTCCTACTACTCCTGTGACACTATTGCAAGTCCCAAAAATAAAACTGCAATTTCTCACTATCACAAAACTTGTTTTCAAATAATGAGGATTCAAGCTGAAGCTACGAAATTTTGCTGTGTTGTGTTGCCTGGGGCTGAATTGTATGAATTTAGAGGGGATGTCTGGCTTTTATTACCTTCCACTATAATAGCAGAACTGTTTAAAGGGCCTGACATACATGTAGTTCTCATTTAGCAACCATAATTGGAACTGGCAACTTAAGTTGCTAAGTGGAAAATCACATGACTGTGACTGTGCTTATGATTTTACTTCAGCTTTACTTTTTTCCCACTTCCTTCCCCCAATTGAATGCTCATCCTAGTGCTGGGCTAATTAGCAAGAAAGAAATTAATGCTTATATTTACATTAATTGAAGAGGAAGGGATTACAAGAGAGTAAACAGGCATATAGTGGAAAATGCAGTACACATCAAAAGAAATGTGCTGGCTCTGGCTGTTTGCCTATCCTTCTCAGGGCTGGAAACTGTGAGAATGCTAGGCAAATAGCCAGAGTGTTCTCCATTGTGTGCCTGCTTACTCTCATATAACCCCTTCCTTTCCAATCTCTTCACTCTGCAGGGGGGGGGGGAGAAATAGGTCAGGTACAAGACTAACTGGCTATAATGAGTGAGAAAGAGAAAGATGCTGCAAAGGTCATAAATGTATGCCTTGGTCACAAAATTATTTTTTTAGCATTGTTGTAACTTTAAACAGTCATTGCATGAGGCAGTCAGTGAGTGCAATCTAACTGTAGATCTTTACTGCCACTATGATGAGCATATCAAGCCATCTGCATCATCTCTTTTGTTCTTCTTTTTTCCCTTAAAAAGGGAAAGAGATTTGTGCTTTGGTATTAATCAGAGAAGGACAAGGCACTTGTTACTGACAAGGCAATCAATATTGGTTTGGCAATTACTAGGAAGAGAAAACTCTTATGACCAATGTCTACAAGCATTATAAACTTGCAAACAAGTCAACATATTTGGTTTTATAGCACTCTGATATCCTAACACATCTTTTGACTCTGCCCTCAGATTCTTCCACTCCTTCTCCTACACTATTCTTCTAGAAATGTTCTAAAACTTAAATATATTGTGATACTTTGATATTACAATGCTAACAAAGTAGAAAAGGCTAGTTTAGCGTATCATTTGTTATTGTCAGGTCTGTCGTGAAAGGGTGGAAATTTGAATTTCTCTCTGTAGAAGTGGTGGCTCCCAATAAATGTGATGAGAATCTCCTGGAGTGTTAATTCTATATATATATATATATATAAGTCCCCAAAATAATAATGGGGAAGTTGTAGAACTCCTGCAACAGACCAGTACTTGGAAGTGAAACACATACACGTTTCCTTTTTGTTAAAATAAATGATGTGCTTCTTCTTAAGAGCCAGACAGTAACTAATATAACCGTACTTACATCAGTGTAAAACTATTTTCTTACAAAAGATTCTTACAAAAATTAAATTCATTATGCATACTTTAAGGGTAGTAATTTTATACTAGTTTACAATCTGTATTTTGTTTCTGACTCAACCAATGTATAGTTAATGGGGAAAAAACACATAGTGATTAAAAATATTTGAACATTTTTCATGTCACAAGAGCTATTATAATTGTTCTTTCTATTGACAGATTGTACAGACTGTGTCAGCCACCCCCACCTGTTGGAGATGAGTAAAGAGTCTTATCTGAGGATTAAACAATGTAAACAGTTTCCACAAAGAGAAGGATAATAGTCTTTTGAGTATGGATACAGAGTCCTTTCTTCTTAAATGTGACTATGTAAATAAAGAGTAATGACTTCTGTTGGGGGAAAAATAATATCTGGACTTATTGTGCATGTTCTGTGAATGTATTCCTTGGGCTGTTTTAAGTGCTTAATTCAGCAATACCAATTGTTCAACTAAGTATGGGAGGAACATGAAAACAAAAAAAAACCCACTGGAAAAATACTGCATTATACTATTTCAAAAAAGCAACATCTTCATCCATAGGGTAATCATTAATGCTCTGATGAAAGAGATATTCTATACTGAAATGCTTTCCTAATGCATATCTCAAATAGTCATAGAAACTCTACTGCCTGCTTTGGCAACAGTATATTTTAATGTAAGAAATTCAATTTGTTTCATCTGAGGTGAGAGACTGAAGCAACAGATGGAACTGATGAATCAAAATTATGTTCAGTGCCCTAATTCATATATTGTTCAATGGCTTTTGACAGGAATCTTTCCTGTAATAGCAAATGGTGAGCATTTGTAGAAAATTCAACTGAGATACTCAATCTTACTCATTTTTCTACCTCAGTTGTTTACATGAAATCACAAACTTTGACTAAGAAAAACATCCAGTTAACATACGTGTTTTAACTCAAAATTATATTTCATCAAACTAACTGAAAAATGAATGTTTTATTAAGGTCTTAAAATTAAGGCATAATTTTTAAAATAACACACTAATAGCTATATTCCATTCTTTCCCTAACATTCAAGATTTGATTTGCAGGGACCATATATATAGTTTGCTTTAATTTTACAGTGTTGTGTGAATCTACTGTGATTAAAAAGAAAGCCTTAAACCCTTTTGTAACTTGTTTGTCTTAACAACAGTGTAGCTTATTCAGTTCTAAACTAATAGCTGACCTAGAATCTTATAGCCATTAGTCTTAGAGCCCATCCCGGCCCCGCAAAGGAAAAAACATTGCAATATATCACGATATATCATGTGGCGCTATCAAGTTTGACATTCATGCTCTAGACTATTAGGATTTACCTAAAAATAGAAAAAATAGGTTTTGTTTTAGAAACCAATGGAGTAAGGTAAGGGTTAGCATTCCCATTCCACATGCAGGCCTTGAAATCCAATCAGTATACAACTGGTGTTTTTTTCCAGACAATTTTTACATAAATGAAAACTATACAAAAGGGGTATGTTTATGGAGATTCTCAGTCATCCAAGTCATAGTTATCCAAAAGATGCTTTTTCACGAGGCAACTGGACTTTCTTGTTTTTCTTTGAAGACGTTTCACTTCTCATCCAAAAAGTTTCTTCAGCTCTGACTTGATGGTGGGGAATCAAAATGGGAAAATCTATCAAAAATTGGTTACCTTTGTTTCTGTTGTCTAGGTTCCATTGACTTAAATGAATTTATGCTTAATTAACATTAAGCCAGACTTAATACATTGTGATAATTGTCTAAATGTATTGTAGTATATATCAAGCAACAGATATTGTAACAATGATGCAAAAAAATCTGTATCCCATTCCCATAAAAACAGATTTTTCTGGCAAGAAGGGTCTAGATTGAAAGTGCAATTGAATATATATTTTCAAAATAAAGTTCCCCTGAATTCAATGAGTCCCAAGTAATAGATAAAGGATTTCAAATGAACAAACCTCTGTCTGATCCAGTAGAAATTGTTGTGTTTTATATTAATTCATATAAACTGCTTATTAGGTTATATCTATTAGGAATGGAAGGGAATAAATAAAAATAACATGAATTCTGGCATTTATTCAGTGAAGTGCTCAGAACCAGTTTTTAATTAGGAAAAAAACACCGTGGTATTGTAAGTTTCTGTTATAATACAAGTTTTTAATCCGACAAAAGGCTAGTATAGTTCTATATTGTTAGATCATGCTGTCACACTGATTTCCCAAGAGCTTGGAAGTAAAAATTAATAACTATTTCTTCCTATCCCTGTATTTTCTTGAATGACAAGAAGGCAAATGGCAAAGTTTAATATATATGTGCATTTTGGATAAAAAGAAATTACCACAACATGCAAATGCTGGTCCTGCAACAAAGTAATCAAGTGATCAATCACAATATTCTTTCACTGTAAGGAATCAGTGCAGTATTTTCTAATCAAAAGTGAATGCATTACATAAAACTGTTTGCTTCATCATAACTATTAGCTATATTACATTCTTTATCAGCACAATAGCAAACAGTAAATTATATATAAATACATGCCAGATTAAAAATACTAAATTACAGTAAAAAGCTTAAATGAAAATGTTAAATAGCAGTGGGAATTTATACTCATATATGTACTATAAAATCAAACACAATGAAGTCCAAGTGTTTTTGAATGATACATTATAGATCAAAAAACAAATACTTTACTTTTTAATATCCAGAGGCATGTTTCACTTACTGAATTTCAAATATCTTTTGTGTATGTTTCTTTAAAAATCTGAACTTTTTTGGTATTTAAATGTGTCCAGATTGTACATTTGCAGCATTTAAATTCTAAAATATAATATATCAAACCCCTGAAATGTAAAAGAGAGTTGCCCTTTAAGTTAGTTTTCAGTTTCCACTTTGACTGGACAAGGGATCTGTCCTTCGGTCAAAAATATTTGCCTATGTAGCAGTAGCATTTTTTTGCCCTGATATTTGTAACTTCTGGTTCAGGAAGTAGCACTGTATTTGTAATCTTTGGAGTGTCTTTAGAAATGTGTTGTTAATTTACACTTCTAGTCTTTCAAAATGGAATGTTTTGGTTTGATGGTAAAAAGAAGCTAGGGATTATCTACTGGTACTACTGATAAAATAAGCCTTTTTCAAGGAAGCTTGATAAACTTTACATATCTTTAATATTTGGTTCTTACTCAGCCCCCAGTCCTGATCAGTTCTAGGTTATTTGGGTAGATCAAGTTGCATAATTCATTTATTCTTTTAGAAGTTGTGGTATCAGCATTTGAGGACTCCTGTCCTAAAATGTTAATGTATTTTCAAAAGGCCATTGGAAAAATCTCATTCCTCATGCGATAGAAAAATCTCATTCCAAATGTGATAGGAAGAACCATTTTCAGGTTAGAAATATTTTCATACTAGTGAAATCCTGCCTTTTACTCTCCCACCAGATTAAAAAAAATAACTGTGCCCTACAGTTCATTGGAACAATTATTATATTCCAACAGTGCCTAGAAATATTTCTACCTTTAACACACATCCTGCTTGCTATTGGCTATGGCCATATCATTACTATTACATTTGACTGTATTTCCATAACTCATGCACATGTCTTTATTTGAAAATATCACAGCAATATTATTTAATCTGTAGCATGTATATAGTGTAAGAAATAAATCAATGCTTATGCCTTTTGTCAGAAAAAAACCTCTTTTGTTTTAGCAGTGTTAGGTTATGCAGAAGAATATATTTTTTTAATTACTCAAACTTAAGTCTAGAACACTGCTGTGTTTTTGCAAAAGAAAAATAGTACATGAAAACATTTACAAAATATATTAATAGCTTAACTGTCTTCAGTATATTATTTTGTATGTCAACTTTTGTTTCATAACATTGATAAATAAAAATAAAACCTCTTTATGGGTGGTTTTTGTTTTGGATTGTATTAGGATAGAGGTTTGTAAATGGTATTGGAAGGGTATGGATATGTGGGTCCCCAAGTTTTCCCAGAGCCAATCAAGCATGGGAACAGGAAAAAAGAACTATGTTTTTATTAGTTCAACATTGTTGGCTCTTGTCAGGGCTTTGAGTGACTTGAGAAGGAGGGGCACCTGTTGATTGTTTCCTACTCATTGGAGATGGCAAGGGAGCCCTCTGGAGAGACCCCAGCAGTTATGGTGCAAGGCCACTGTTTCTGGTGTGCCAGTGAACTGTTGGCAGTGCAGTGATGAAGATGGAGTTGGCAATGCTAGAAGAAGTTGGTGGCATGTTTTTGCTAATGGAGGTGGCCATACAACAGCACCATTGGCCACAGAAGATCACATAAGAGCAGTTCTCTTTTGCAGATGATAGCATTCTGACAGCAGTGGACAGGCCAGCAGTGATATTGCTGAACTGGCTTGGATCACCTGAATCTTGCATTAGGCCAGTAACCATCTTGTCTCTGACATGAAGCTTGGAAAGAACAATTATAGTTATTTGGAGCTGCTGACCCACTACTATGGACTTTCCATCTTTTCCTGGTAGACTGGCTTATGAATGTGGACTTTTTTTTCACTGCAGAGTTGGGTTTGAATTACAGCAGATACTTTTTACCAACCTGGGCTCTCCTTGACAGACAGATAACGAACAAGAATGGAGATGGATAACTGAGACCAGATAGCTCTCTTTTCTGAGTATGAATGGTATCTTGTGAAAGGATGTGTTTATTGTAGATGTTGGTTTTATTTAAAAGGAATTCATGTTATTAATGTGAAAAATAACATGGAGGTCATTCCAATATTTTATCTATCGAAAGCAATCTGGGGTAATTGTACTTGAAATATTCCTTTTATCTTTCTGTGGTATTACAAGCCAAACATATATCATTTGTAGAGTTGTTTTATTTGGGGGCTTGCTCTCTTACAGTCCATTGGCCAAAAGCCCCATGATCATTATATTGCATTTGAATAAAAAATATTTGTTGCATTTATCTCCATTTACTGGTTTCTTATTAAAGAGAGCATTGTTCTCACAACACATTACATTAAAACATAGGCAGTTATGTAGTAACTGATTTACATGTGTGAAATTGTAAATGAAATCCAAACAGTCACAACTGATATAGTTAGACCTGTATTTTTTTATTATGACTGAAATACAATCACTGTTTTGATATTAGTGAGGCTGTCCTGACTGACATAATCCTAATGCTTTGCAGTTTAAAACAATACAGCCCGGGCCCAAGTGGGGTCATTTGGAGGAAGAAAGAGGCATGGGGATGCTGCACATCCCCATAGTCAGTTGTCAGCGCAAATGACTGCAGGGGTACTGCAGCCATCATAACTTTGAAACAGTTGTAAGTAATTGGGGCAGGGGTCTGTTGTAACTGAACAGTCATTAAGTGACCTGTCATAAATAAAATGCCACAATATATCTTTCCCTTTTTGCAATAGTACTACTATTATAGTCAATTTTTAATTGACAAGTTAACCCCAGGCCACATGGAATTATGTTGTCTATTCTTATCAG